CTCTCTCTCTCTCTCTCTCTCTCTCTCTCTCTCTTTCAAATAACTGGTTGTAGACAAGCCCATACATGAACTACTCCCTGTTCACAAGAGCAAACAATACGACTATAATTGCAAAGCAAAGAGTAGAAAATCCAAAACAAAAGACAGAAAGTTAAACAAAAGTAAATTATGTGAAAATGGAACAACTATTTAAACAATGGTAAACAAAATATCTATTAGACGGCCAAAAAAAGAAAGGGGATGAGACCTTTAATTAACCCCCCCCCCCACACACACACACACACATTTTGTATGCTTATTCAACTCAAGTAAACAAACAAATCACATTTTCTATGATGCTTTGATGTAGAAAAAGTAAACATATTTATCATGTTTAGTTATCCTGGAAAAAGAAAACATATTCAACATTATGTAAGTCAGAAAAGAGAGAATTTAGTTTTGAACAGTTTAGTCATGAAAAAGTAAACACATTCATTATGATTATTGGATTTTTAAGACAGTCATTGTTTTATTATTATTTTTGAAGTCGAAAAGAGAATAGATATTTGTTATGAATATCAAAAACCTAAAAATGAAAACATTTATTATATTGAACATTTTCATAAGACATTGTTTATGATTTTATTGAAGTCGGGAAACGAACAGACGAAGAAGAAATATTTCTCTATTATGCTCATTGATGTCGTGAAAAGAAAACATTGATTTTGCTGAAGTAAATACAAAACATTCCATAAGGTTATTTTTTAAGTTGAAAAAAGAACATTTTTAATTTGGTACTCTATTGAAATTCAGCCTTGAAGTCTGAGGAAAGAAGCAAAACGGTTTGCTCTCTGGTGTGTTTATCCTTCCCAACCGCTCGCTCGCTTCGCCTGAGCTATAGGACGTCCACTTTCTCGTGTCCACAGTTTCTGGCTATTTAGCAAAAACTACCTGCTTTATAATCACTGCTTTCATCATTTCTAAGTGCTCGTTTGTATATTTCTTTTTCATTAAGTATTAAGCTTTGACTGACCGGAGAAATTTCATGTCTTTTAATCTGCACGTTAAACAGATTATTCAAAGCGCCGTAATCCTTTGATCCTTTTTAAGATCACTAAATTCGTGGCTTAGAGTTACATTTTGCAGTTACGAAGGCATTCTAAACATTAAACTTTTAAACACATTTTGAGTACGGAAAAGACGTCCAGGGCGGAGAATCGCCAGCATTGTTGAACGTAGTGACCTCGGTTATGTAAACTCTTCTAAATTGTGTAAGATTGAAGCAGTGTCGGTTTTTGTTTGTTATAAATTATACAGAGACGAAATAATTAACGGCTTCAATTTTTTTGCTGGACAAAAAAAAATATTATACTCCTGAGAGTTAATAACATTTCAAACGTATGCGTAAATTTTCAGTGCATCTAGTCAAGTGATAACTGAGATTGAGAGGTGCAAACGTTGGCACAAGGAAGTAAACAGAGTATAGCTGTCATTTCATCAAGACGTCGAAAGAGCTCTTAAAAACACAAAATACAATAACACTCAACAACGCTTACCAAATACGATTTCTTTTTTATGTCAATATTTTAAACTCCGAAAATTCTTAAACAAAGCCATGACATTTGGAATAAATCACTCATCGTCTCCAATTTTTGCATGTTTTATTTATTTCTATAATTCTATGTTTTCTTTCGTGTTCTTTTCTATATTTATTTGTTTCTATGGTTGGGAAGCCAGGGGGAGGGGGAAGGGTTGTTTATATTGATGTGATAAAAATGTAAATGAAATAAGATAAGAAATGTAATCAGTGTGGAACAAGAGTGCGTGTTGCAGCGACGCTGACTCAATATATCTACTCTGTCCAGAGCATAGCGTCACTCAAAGAATATGAATAATTTATACGCTGACCTAGTCATAGATGTACACGTCATCTAATGTGTTCGAGGGAAATTGCTGATGGGAGACCCACAGGCTTCAACGAGCATCTGTCTCTTTCGCATTTTCCTGAATGCAATATATTATTTTACTTTGTATCTTCCTTCCGAGAAAGAAAGTAATGGGGACAAATATCGCCCGGAAATGATACGTTTTTCAAATGGGTATTGCCCCGTAACTATATATCACTGATCCAAGACGATTTCGGTTACTTACTTGCTAATGTCTTTCACCCCTCCCCCCCTCCAAGTATATAAAAGAATCATACATTTTCAAACGGGTTTTGCCCGTAATTATATAAGGACATCGGACCCTTATTAGACTCGCACCCTCCCCCCCCCCACCATCCCTCTTTCTATGTATAAATCTACACATCTGCTTGTGGATACAAAATTTTTTGGGTAAGTGATTAAAAACTGCTGCCAAAGTCTGAACTCTCTCAAGATGTGAACTTTGGTTGTTCCACAACGCTGAAAGATGCGCTATTTGGGGTTAAGAGTAATAACTTCGTTATTCCCAAAAATGTTATAGTTTTGTTCAATTCTGTTTCTCTATCTGAAACTTCAAGAGGCAGGCAGCAACATGCATATTACAAAATAGGAAGACTGATTGTTTTCTGACTCGTTTCGTGTTTGATTGTTTGAAACGTGGGACAACATTTCCTTTTGGTCTGCCTCTTATCGAACACATGATCACCCCGCTATATCCCAAAAAAATTGACAGAAACAACAGACTCACAACATGGACTTAAATTACAACATCCTAGACTGGGCACTGACATCGACGACACTCTTTGCTCTTTGCACTAGGGTGCACCATGGATGCGCAAATTTTGGGCAAAATACAAATATAGAGTGGTTAAAACTTTGTGGTGCAACTATTGTCCAATATTTTCGCAACTAGTGAATATAGATTCCCCTGCTTTTGCTCAATGTCTTGCGTCAATTTTGTCTTAACAGATAGATAATTCTGTAAACACCTGTTAGATGCATTCTGGAAAATTCTTTAATAACTACTAATTTAAAGAATCCTAGTGGGTGGTTTCTACACGTTTACAATTGGAGATATATTGGATTTTAAATCTAGTCCGTCAGTTTTGTTCTAGCCGTAGCACTATGTATATTGAGAGTATGTTTTTGTTTGTTTTAGTAGAGGTTTTACGGCGCTCGCACACTATAATATCAATTTTTTGTCACTGAAATGTTTTATTGGTGAGATGGGACGTACACCATGATATGCGTAGGCAAAGAGTATGTGGGAAGCAGGAAGTGCTGTGAATAATCTCATTTTCCGCGTAACTGAGATTTTAAGTATTTTAAATAAATTATGAAGAACATGTTTTAAAAAAAAATCTAGTCTCAATTGTTGTGGAAAAATAAGAGTAAATTAAGCCAAATTGATACAAATATCTGTGCATATTTTGAGTGACACTGATTCACCAGTTTAAGAGATGTTTGAGGATATGTTGCGCAACGAATTATTTTTACCGCACTGTAGAACTGTCTCGTGATAGTTCAGGGCGCGTGTCCTCTACGTGTCCTTCATTTGGTTCCAAATAGAATCAAAAGACACCCTCCATAGTAAACTGATATTTTGCAAGTAATGCCCAGCCTGGGATATTATAGTTCAAGTCTATGTCTCACAAAGACAAAGGAGAACAGAGCTGTGGGGGCAGGCGAAGCTACTTATTTTGAAATCAGGGCAGGAGGTAAAACATTGTATTTACTAAGTCTAAGTTAAAGGCATATGTCGCGAATGATGTCACTGTGACCCAATTGTAGCTCACTGAGAGCGGAGACCCTGGATATGCATACTAGGCCAAGTAACTTAATTAATAAGTCAGGGGAGGGGGGTAGATTTACCATAGTGTATTCCTCTCGAGAAATTGTTGAGGTAACCATGGAGAATCTGCATTAAGCTACACATGGATATTATTTGGGTTTAAAACCGCTATCAAAATTATTGGG